AAGGAAGAGCATAAGTCCATCATGAATATTATGCTTATATTGTGTGATTTTTAAAAACAAAGATTATTGACATATTCATGAAATATTCAGTGTACTTAAAACATTCTGTTAAATGCCAAACACTGTGCTAACCTGGAAGTGCAAAGAGGAAAAGAAATAATTGTCTTTTTTAGGGAGATTTCACTGTCTAATAGGAGAGGAAAACGTGAAAAAATAATTACAGGGCTGTAGTAGATGTGCTAAAATAGAGGTGACTCTAGTGTAGAGAATGCTTAAAGCAAGGGATGATCACATCTGTCTCAGGTGTGTATTAGAGAAAACTTTGCTGAGGAGCACTTGAACTGCCTCTCGAAAGATGAATCAGGTTTGCTTAGAGAACAGGAAGATGCCATTCTAGACTGAGAGGACACCTGGCAAAGACAGAGTGACACGTGGGGGAATACTTGCTAAAGGAAGGGAGGAAAGAAGCTTAAGTAATAAACCTGAAAAAGAAAATAGGGGTTCTCGCTCTCTCAGTGACTTTTAAGTGCTTTCTATGCCTCTTCTTTCAGTGGTTCATCAACCAATTATGAGGCAACATGGATAGATTTATTGTTTACAGGAATTGGAGGTGGTTGAAACAGAAGACTTAAAGCTAATGAGGACTTTGTTATCTACTTGAGAAATGATCCGGGGGGTAGAGTAGAGTAAAGGAGGATGGGTCATTGGCGGAACCAGTAGGATTAATTGGTTTATTAATTAAACCAATAGGCCATTTTTCCTTGGATGTTTGCATGGGGAGTGATGTCATTCACTCAGATGGAATTGTAAGAGGAAATGAATATCAGAGCTAGGCTGGGCTATATAATCAGTTTAGCTTTGGATATATAGATTTCTGTGGTGCCTGTCAAACATCGGAAGTGGTAGAGAAATTTGTGAATTGTAAACTTGCAGGTAGAAGTGGAAGTTGAGCTTAGATGAAGTAGTGTATGCAGAATGAGAGGGAAAGAAGCCTAAGAAGGGATCCTTTTCCTTTCTTATGGAGAATGCCCCCTTTTAGGTCTCAACAGAGGAAGAACACTTATAGGTGACTGAGAAGAAGCTGGGGGAGAACCAAGGAAGAGTGGTACCAGAAGTTCAGGAGAGGAGAGAGATGAAGGTTAAAAAATACATGTTAATATTTGTGTAGAGTGGTAGTTTTGCGTGGAGACCTCATGTTTCTTATGTAGTTACAATCTCTAATTTTGGCTGTATTATCTCAAGTTTATAAATATTACATTTATTATTTTGAATTTATCCATAGAAACCATCTATGTATGTACATGTATTTAAGCACACTATCTGCACACTGCAGATATGTGTTCCTACTATAACTACTCATCACGTCAAACAGGCCAGAGAGTTGGAATTATCCTCAGTTTACAGATAATAAAACTAGGATACTTTGCCCAAGGACACATGGCCAGTACAGAGCTTGAATTCAAATCTAGGACTTCCTTAGTCCTACTGGACAGTGTTGCCTGTTGATTGAAGTCACAGCACACCTATAAATGAGTGATTTTCTCATTTCTAAATCCTTTTGTAAATGTAGGTGTAACTTTAGAACTTTAAAATGTGTCATTCCAGAAAAAGTTGTCTATTCCTTTTGCTGTTGTTATTCAAAATTTTAATAGTATCCTTTCTTCGTATAATTGCTTTTCAACTTTTAAAATCTCATGAACATGTGTGTGCGTGCTCAGTCACTTCAGTCGTGTCTGACTCTGTGACCCCGTGAACTGTAGCCCGCCAGGCTCCTCTGTCCATGGGATTTTCCAGGCAAGATCACTGGAGTGGTTGTCACGCCCTCCTCCAGGGGATCTTCCTGACCCAGGGATCAGACCCTTGTCCCCTGCATCTCCTGCATCGCGGTGGATTCTTTACCACTTAGCTACCAGGGAAGCTTGTCATGAACATATTTGGTGTTTATTACATTTTTCCATTATTTTTTGGTTTTTAACTTTTTGACGTGATCAGAGGTTCTCCTCATCCTACATCTTCTAATGTCAATATTTGTTCCCTTGGCAGTGAAGAGCATGGTTTCCTAACCAGTGGACCACCAGGGGATTCTCTAAAAGATATTTTTGTTGCTAAATAAATTTTAAAGTTTAGTCTTATTGATATGTCTCAGACTGAATTTTGCAAACACAGTGAATTAAATAAACATAGTGAAAAGTGTTGACTGTTATTGGCCTGTTCTGCTTCCTATTGAAGTTATCTGCAATTTCCAGGATTGTTTCTGAAAGATAGATGCACCTCATTAGATATGTTATCATCCTTTAGTTCTAGTTAAAGCTAATACTAAAGACCCTTGTCATATATTATATTAATAGCTTTAGAAGATGCAACAGGGTTGCAGTCTCAGTTCTTCATAGGAATGGAAAAGGGATGTGTGTCACAAAAGGAATTTTATACTTTCCTTTTAATCACTGAAACCTCAAGGAGAACTGAAGTGGTAGAAAAAACAAAGAAGTAGGAAATCTTGAAGTCGGATTCCCTGGTGGCTCATGTGGTGAAGAACCTGCCGGCAGTGTGGGAAACCCAGGTTTGATCCCTGGGTTGGGAAGATCCCCTGAAGAAGGGAATGGCAACCCACTCCAGTATTCTTGCCTGGAGAATCCCATGGACAGAGGAGCCTGGCAGGCTACTCCATGGGGAGCAAAGACGTGTGGCAAAGTCACATGACTGAGTGACTGTCACTGTCGTCAGGAATCTTGAATTCTGTTCTTAGCTTTGCTAATAAATATTTAGGGTGATCTGGCCTATTTCCTCATCTGTAGAGTAAGGGAATATAAGAAAATGAAAAAGTTTTCTTCTAACATTTGTATTTCTTTAATTATGATAAAGTCTATGAAATTAGGCATTTACAACGTTACTTTTATGCTGGCCATGGTTTCAGTGTAAAACAGGTTAGTAAAATTGCCATGTCTATGCTTTTGATTAAACCAAAGCTTCAAGTTAATTGACTTTTGTCTTGAAAAGAGATAGTAAAAAGAGACCTTTGATTCACTTAAAAACTTATATAAGAATGCAAAACTCCCCACTTGGCAGCTTGAGTTAATATTTCTGCTAGAGGATTTTTTTTTAAACACACTTCTCAGTTTTAGACACTTTTTAAAAAAAGATGAATTGTATATATACTTCATAAAAATCTTATGTAAAATTGAGTTGAAATAAAATAAAAATAATCAGTATATCTTTATCACATTATCTCACTGCTAAAAATGTCTCTTGTTCTTATTGTTACCGATGGAACCAGGTTACTAGAAAAACTGAAAATTTGGGAAACTTGTCTCAAAACAAGATAACTATATTATCTACCTGATACAGTTTTTGTGAAAATAGAGACAAATCTATGTAGGTGATTTAAATAGTGCTTGGCACTAATAAATACTCAGCTAGTCTTAACCATTAATAGGATGAAGAAATTTTAAGAGAAGGTTTAGACTATACATTGACTTACAGGCAGAAGATGAATAAGAATAAGGTATTTAAATTCTTCTGTTTGTTATACAGAGATTAGATTGAAACAATTGTGGGTACAGTGTTAGGTTCAGCTCCTCCCACACCTCCCGTTTCTACTACACTGCCCCACAGAGTGGAACGTTTGTTTTGTCATCTTATAGCTCTCATGTCTCACAGATGAATTCTTCAAACTACTACCACCACTAATATTACTAATACTTATATGGATGGATCTCAAGTGATTCTAAAGTATAGCTAATTTCTAAGTCAGTTACTCAGAGATACAAAGTGTTGTTTAGTTTTGAGTAGTTTAATTTAGAGAGTAAGTGACAACAATATGGTTATGTCATTTGACTTTTTTTTTTCTGGCTTTTGTAATTAATTCTAATCACCTTGTCAAAAAGTATTTTCTGACTTTCTAGAAAGGGACTGTTGATTTATTTTAATTCAAATATTTTGAGTATTTAAGAGAGTAATTTAGTTCAGTCCTTGTCATTTATAGCAGAAAAAGGACATGGGATATGAAAGCAAAATTAAAAAAATTTTTCCCAAATAATTTAAAATTTTTAAACAATTCTTTTTCTAAATGTGGTAGCAGAATTTTGTCAAAAGTTGAGACTGGTAGATTGTTATGGTATCTGTCATAGATTATTGTCAGATAGAAGAAATGAAGAAATGAACATAGCAGAATAGCTCTTCTAAATATTATTCTCATTTCCATTATTTTTTCCTTCATGTTGAGTCTAAAGATGAAATCACAATTAAATCTAAAGAATATTCAGGAGAAAAAAATTAGGTAAAGGAAGAACTTCAGCTAACAGTGGTTTATGTGGATGTGATTGTCCATGTTACTCAGAGTAGGGTGTTGAAGATAATAGTGAATTTTGGTTAGGAGATCACAACAGTGAAAACTACAGGTTACCAAGATCAAGGCATAAAGCCAAGGAAAGGTAGGTCTCTGACAGAACATGAGGAAAACAAACTATTTCTGTATTAAGATTGAGCATAAAAGAATAGTCCAGGTTCTGAATTTATTTGGATATATATCTCAGTGAAAGTGAAAGTTGTGTCCAACTCTTTGCAGCCATATAGACTATACAGTCCATGGAATTCTCCAGGCTAGAATACTGGAATGGGTAGCCTTTCCTTTCTCCAGGGGATCTTCCCAACCCAGGGATCGAACCCAAGTCCCCTGCATTGCAGGCAGATTCCTTACCAGCTGAGCCACAAGCGAAGCCCAAGAATACTGGAGTGGGTAGCCTATCCCTTCTCCAGGGGATCTTCCTGACCCAGAAATCAAACCAGGGTCTCCTGCATTGCAGGAGGATTTTTTACCAACTGAACAATCAGGGAAGCCCTCAGAGTTTACCTTAAAAGAGAGCATGACTTTGTTGGTACTTATACTTGGTGAATTATAAGGAAAGGAAACATTTCTTTAAAAATTACTATAAATTTTGCCTGAATATTGTTCTGGACAAATTGTGTGAACTTTCTAATTACTTTTCCTTCAATTTATTTAGATCAGCTATTCCATGTATTAGCCTTGCACATGCGACTTTATAGCATTGATTCTGAGTATAACCCTTGGAGAAAGCTCACACAGTTACTAGAAGAGATGAGTTCGCAGTAAGTATTATTGAAAGGTTAAATTCAGTTACAACTTTTTTGAAAATGATTAAGTATAAAAATAAGATTGAAGTTCTTTTTAATATGTGAATTTTCCTTATGAGGCAAAAATACGTGATAAAAATTGAAAACCGTTTATTATATTATACTTTTATACCATTTATATACTATTATTATTATTGTTACTATCTATACTATTATATTTTCTGTTAAATTTACATAAAAATTCCTAATGAGTGAGAAAATCTTTTAAAGAATTTCACTGGTTTTTATATAGACAAAACATTCAGAGGCACACAATGGCCGGTGGTTCTTTTCATGTCATAATTGATCAAAGGGTTCAAGTAACCTTAGACTTATTCCTTCATTGTAAAGTTCCCCACAGCCTTTCACCTGATGATGTTTGAAACCTAAGATCATTCTTGCCTTCATTAGGTACTACAGAATAGTGGTTTAAAAACACACACACACAAAAAAACTGCTTTATGATTTATTAGCTAGAAACACACTAGTTTTAGAATCTGCTTTTCAAAAATAACACATGACAACCAAATTCCCGCATCATTAAAATTTTTGAAATGATACACCTCATTTACTTACTCCTAATTTATAGAAATACAGAATCTGTACTTTATGCTACCACTTATGTAATCAGTGGGAACCATTTCTGAGGGAATTTGAATAATAGGTGAGAAAGTGGTGCCCCCTGAATTTTTTTCTTCTTAAGAACTTTGGGCTTGTAAAGAAGAGATGCCAGGGAGACTTAAGAGACAATAATAGGATTCATAGCATTAATGGAAGTTTATCTTTGGAGAGAAAGACAACTATTAAAGAGATATTTGTAGAGAATGGAGATATTCAAAGAGCTGTCTTCTTTGGCAGTTCCATAAGCATCACAGAAGCAGGGATTGTTTACTCACATGTATCCAATGCCTGGCCAACAGTTAAGTAATCACTATTTTGCTGAATGACGAAGCCTTATAAAAGATTTCAGCAGTTTCTATTTATCCCAAATCTAGTCTCACATGTAGCTTCAGAATTTAGCTGATTCTGAATACTTAAGATTTACTTTTGTTCTCTGACATGAAAAATTAAACCTGTGATCAAAATATTTAAGTTTCTAAAGGAGTTTTAATTCTTTTAGAATGAAAAGAGCTGCTCTATAATAAATTCTGTGTGTTTTATGGTACTATACGTACCTTAGGTTTACTATTTTGTCTTTTATAGTATATTTTAAGTTCTACTTTGGTTATTATATCTTTTTTTTAAACTTTGAAAATGTTAAAAGATTTTCTTTGAATTTTATGTTAGTCCTAAAGTTGAAACAACTTTTTTGTTTGTTTGTTTCCAAGTTTTTATTTTTTATTTATTTTTTTGTGTGTGTATTCCTTTTTTTTTTTTTTTTCTTATTTTACTTTACAACATTGTGTTGGTTTTGCTGTACATTGACTTGAATCCACCTTGGGTGTACATGTGTTCCCCATCCTGAACTCCCCTCCCACCTCCCTCCCTATCCCGAAACAACTTTGAACAAGAGATATTAACCATGCCTTTTCAATGTAACTTGTTTGTGAATTGATTTTTTATAACACGAATATTTATTCTTTAATATAAAGTTTGTGATAGCAAGTATCCTAAGTGCCACCCCATTTGTAGTGAAGCTAATTCTCTTAAGTTCCATTTAATACTTCGTTTGATTTCTGTAATCTGAGAGATCAGAAAGATTCACAATCAAGTTAATGTGTTCCAATTGTTTCAGTTAGTAAAACCTGATAAATTTTCCAGGTAATTTTTTCCTATTAGGCAGAATCAAAGAAATATGTGAGCCTAGGATATTGTATTTTTAGGCAAAAATGTGGTCCTAACTTTTTCTTTTGAGATTTCTTAGTTGCTTACGAAAGTTTGGTTTCTGTTCCATACACATATATGTGAAATATAAAGTGAATTAGAAAGAAAATACTGTCTAAAGTGATTATGCATTTTTCTTTTAGACTGGGAAATGAGGAACAACAGCCTGAGGTTCCAATTCTTTATCATGATGTTACATCCCTTTTGCTCATCCAGATCTTAATGATGCCTCAACCCTTACACAAAGGTATGTCTTTACAGTTTAGATTCTTAGATTATATTGTATATATAATGAATATTCTAAAAATTACAGGCATAAATATAATATTCACTCTGATGGAAATGTTCTGAGATAAATAGCATTGTAATCATTTATTTCTAAAGATGAGAGTGAAATAAAGAATTTTTTTTTCCTTGTGGGTCTGCTTTTAGCTCTTTAGTCAATATTTAGGTAAAGATATGGGGGAGTCACTGAAAATCTTTAGGAAATTATAGTACAAAAATGTGAAAAATAGAGCAAACTGTCAGCTTTAATGCCTTTACCTATCTACATGCATTTTAATATAGGAGTATCATAGAGTATTAAAAATGTGATGACTCATTATTTTTAATTAGTGTTAATATCATACTAGTAATTTTTATATACTAATTTTTACTAGTATGATATTGATAGCATTCATAATTATTGCTCCCTAGTTGTATGAGTTGTAGAGTTTTTAATATATTTTGGATATTAAACCTTTCTGGATATATTATTTGCGAATATCTTCTTTCATTCAGTAGGCTACCTTTTTTGTTTTATTAGTAATTTCTTTGCTGTGCAAAAGCTTTTTAGTTTGATGGAGTCCCATTTATTTTTGCTTTTGTTTCGCTTGCCCAAGGAGACATATCCAAAAAAATATTGCTAAGAGTTATATCAGAGAGTGTACTTGCCTTTGTTTTCTTCTAGAAGTTTTATGGTTTCAGGTCTTACATTTAAATCTTTAATCCATTTTCAAGTTTATCTTTGTATATGCTCTGAGAAGATGGTCCACTTTAATACTTTGGCATGTAGCTGTTCAGTTTTCCCAGCACTGTTTGTTAAAGAAGCCGTCTTTTCCCTGATCTTATATTCTTGCCTCCTTTGTCATAAGTTAATTGACCATATACAGGTGTCTTTATTTCTGGGCAGGAAAGTCAGTTTAAATGCTTGATTTGTTTACCAGTTTTCAGAAAAATAGGTAGGTTTTGTTTTTTTTTTTTCTTAGCATCCTCCAAAGGTGATTTCTTTTTTGTTTTTTATAATTATTATGGACTAATGAATTTTAGCAAATGAGATATCTTTTAGTTCTTGTGTAGAATAATAACTGTTTAAACACTTGTGTTTGGTTTTAGTTGGCTTGTGTCCTGATGATATGACCCCAGCAATCTTTGGTAGCTTCTTCAAACCAAGGCATTTTAATCTGTGGTTTAGGTGTTCACTGGAAAAAACAAACATTTAAATGAAACACTCACACCATTAGGTGATGTGCACAATTACTGAAAGTATGAAAAAACTCCTTGTAAGTTCAGAATGCTTTTACCCTAGACAAGTAGAGTTGAAAATTAGTTTTTATTAAAATAGGCTAATATTTGATTAAATAGAATCTCTATACTTGATTGAAGACTAATTCTACCTCATATTAGGAAAGTATTTTGAACTCCAGAGTATTGGAGAATGTTTTTTGGAGTGCTGAAATTAGTTGTGTTCCTAGACTTCCTGGAAACCATTCGAGTAAAGATTATTAAGGTAACCTTTTGTTTTGATCATAGGCTTCCATAGTGACTCAGAATATCACATTCACATGATTTTTCAACTTCCATTATTCCTTGAACATACTGTACTGAAGAGGCAACTTTATCATTGCTACAGATACCTTACAGCCTATACTTGACATTGTTTTTAAGCAGTTAATCTATACTTTGCACACAGAAATAAAGGTTTCTTTCAGGTAATTTCATTGTTTTTGAAATGTCCCTTTTCCTCATTTCAAACATATCAAAATAGCTTTGGTGGCCTAAAATGTTTAAAAAGTGTTTTTTGAATGGATTCAAGACAAAGACTGTTGGAGTTTTTATTCGTTTCTCCACATCCTTCCTTACATTATTAAAAGAGCTTAATTTGGAACTCCCTGCTGGCCTAGTGGGCTTCCCTGGTGGCTCAGATGGTAAAGAATCTGCCTGCGATGTGGGAGACCTGGATTTGATCCCTGGGTTGGGAAGATCCCCTGGAGGAGGAAATGGCAACCCAGTCCAGTATTCTTGCCTGGAGAATCCCATGGACAGAGGAGTCTGGTGGATTACAGTCCATGGGGTTCCAAAGAGTCAGACACGACTGAGTGACTAAGCACAGCACAGTGGCCTTCAAGGAATTCATGAATCTCTTTAAATAATGTGGAAAAAAATTATATGTATATGTACATTTTTTATGGGAAGTTCCATAGCTCCTACCATATTTTCAAATGAATATTGACCTCTCAAACTGAGTTATTTATAAGTTCTCCTGAGAACTCTTGGTCATAAAGCAAATAAATAGTTCTGTAATAAGGAATGGCAGTAAGAAAATTGCTTTTGAGTAGTTGTAGAATCAGATACAGATTTTAATGGGATGAGAAATGAGAGGGAGATGAGAGAACAGACATAGTGAGCAGAGAGTTATCAGGAGTGAATGTGGGGAGAGAATAGAGGCTGTTTGTGGATATAATTCAGAGTTATTTTTCATTTTTTTTTTTTTTTTTTTTGAGCAGGTTTTGAACACGTTTAAATGTTTGCCATGTCTCCCTTATTCACTTAGTAACTCCTGGTGCTCCTTTACTGGGAAGCCATTTTCTTGGCTGTCCCTTTTTCACTTTCTCAAAATAACTTGTTCATAGTTCTACTTCAATACCTGTCTCTTTGTCATAATAGTAGATTTTCTTCAATATTACTCTCTCGAGACTATCAATTCCTCCAGGACTTGCACCATTTTGTGTGTCCCTTGTGCCTAATGTATTCAATAATGTGGAATGAAGGTGTTAAATATCCGGTTGTCTTATTTCCTGGTAAATTGCTTATTTTCTCTTGAAATCAAGAAAGCTGTTACTTTAGTTGAAATCTTTGTATCTTAAATTGTGATCACTTCTGTATAATGTTCTTTGGTAATGTTGGCAGTTTTTTAAACCTAAACCTCAATTGTCCTGAAGTATACCCAAGGGAAGGGCATTGACTACCTTATTCATTGTTAGATGGATGTGGGATCCTTTCCCAGTTCTGTGTTGATTAAGGCAAAGAAAGTCTTATTAAGCTGTTTGTGTTCATTACTCGTCAGAGGGAAAACAGGCTGAAGCTTATCACACGGAAAACCACATCACAAATTCTTTTTTGTTGTAGACTAGACATTTTGAAGAGAATCAGAGCACATTAGTTAACTCAGATCATAAAATGGAAGACTAAGAAGATTTGATATTTTCATAGATATGTGCAAAATGCTTTATGGAAGAGTATAATTTTTTTACAAAAAATATCATAATTTTAGGAAGGGAATAAGTGTCTTCATTACGTCATGTTTATTATTTCTATGATTTTTCACATTTGGGTTTTATTATTTTATATATACTCTATCTTGTCCTTAAAGAAACTTGGAGCATTTGGTATCACCTTAACTCTAAAACAGTTTATGGAAAGAAACTTTTGCAAACATCAGAATCCTCTTTGTCTTCTTGTTTATCACCTACCCTAAGCCTGGTGCTTGTAGGCAAGCCAGTAAATAAATGGGTGTTAGTTGAATAACTGTACCTTTCCAGGAGAGTATAGATTCCCTGGATTACTTTTGCAAAACACAGCGCACATACTGTTGGATAGAGTGCATACTCACTAAATATTTAGTTGTCAGATTTTTTAAAATTTCTTGTGTATTTTTGCCTTACCCACTGAAGAAAATCTGATGTACTCATATTTTGTTTGTATCATTCCAGAGTCAAGCTGTCATTTCAGCTTAATGTCAGTATTCTTTGAACTATATTACTGTTTCAGGATCTTTATCTTGTTGAAAAAATCAAATATGGATAAAGACTTACATGTGATGTCTGTTTAAAAAGTTGGTTTATTGCCTTTCCTGGCAGCACAATGGTTAGGAAACTGGTGCTTCCACTGCAGGAGGCATGGGTTTGATTCCTGGTCGGGACACTAGGATCCCACTTGCCATGCGGTATAGCCAAAAGAAAAAAATTAAATTGTATGTTTCAGTTTTTTCTTTAACTGATGAATTGCATGCTGATAACAAAATGATGACTTCATCTTCTGAAATAGTGATGAGATAGATGTGGCATCTACTTAGTAGTTCAATTTTCACACCAATTTAAGTAAAGAATTAATTTTCATTTGTGATTCTAAGGAAAATTTTACTTTTTAAAGAGCTTCAGGCTTACATTTCTGCCTTACCAAACTTATCTTAATGTGATCAGTAGGGGCAGCTTAAATTATTGACCCCTTGAAAATGCCTTGTCTCTCCAACCCCTTTCCTTTTTCCTGTCATGCAGTAGCACTATAAAACTTAAAATATGTACCATTGTTTAAAGACTGTTTACTTCTAACACATTTTAAATTAATATCAATCTTCCTTTGTTTACCCTCAGGTGGTTTGATAGTAGATTTTTGTTTTTCTGAAAGAAACATTGAGAATAGATGTCCAGTTCTTTTTTCCTCCATTTTAAATTTTGGTTGTTATATTTGAAGGGCTTTGCTCTCTGTTTTAACTTTGGAAGATAATAACCTGCTGACTTAATATGCACTTAAAATGAGTGTTTCCTTTGTTTTTTCCTTAAGTCTCTAAAAGACGTTGATTTCATACATGGCAAGTATTCAGTAAATAAATATTTCTTAAATGAATGAGTGAACATCAGAACTTAAGTTTAATCTATAACTTTAAACTGCCAGTTTAAATATTTTAGATATGATGATAATCATGGTAGACAAAATAACTTAAAAAATGGTACTTTGCTACAATAAGAAGCTAAAATTATGCTGAAAGTAGCTGTTGTTTCTTTAAGTACATCATTTCTTTTAAATTAAAAATTAATTTCTGTAGTTTATAATGAGAAGAAACTATATGTGAGTAGTGTTTCTAAGCAGTATACTTCTTGGTTAAAATCATTTTGTTTGTTCTTACTAGACAAATTCTGTTATTTTTATCTTTCTATTAAAATATTTAATCATTATGAATTTTTAAAGTGTTGATGATACCTTCCTTTCCTATTCGTTGATGATTCCAGATATTTCCTGCCAGCCTACAGCTCCTTGGTGAGCTGCAGACTTATACACTTGTACACATAATGTTACATATTCCTCAAACTCACCCCACGTGACATTATTTCATCTTCTTCCCATCCAGGCTTGCTCTCTTCCTCGATTTTCTATTTTAGTCAATACTACTACTGTTGATATTTACCCTCTGTAGAATAAGAGACTGTCATTATTTTCTACCTCGGAAGCTCTACCAAATTCTATAATTTCTGTCATTTAAATATTTCTCTAATTCAGCCCACTCTTTTCATTGGGGCATCTAATTTGACATGTGCTAGAGTCTTTTGCTGTCTGCTCGTAGGTAGTCTTGCCTCTGGTCTTGTTTTAGAGCCCTTCTCCTAAGAAGCAGCAGTCAGTATTTTAAAATTCAAATCTAATATTATCATTGTCCTGCTTAAAATTACTTCTCATTGCCCAGCCTAAGTTCTGTAAATCAAAAACTTATAAATACGAAACAAGTAACATAGATAGTAGTAATAATAACAGATATTTACTGATTGCCATTGCCAATCCACTATTTTAAGCTGAATTATCTGTTTCACTTAACCCCTTTAAAGTAGGTGTTACTATCCACCTACTTTAACAGATGAAAAAGCAGAGTGTTTAACTAACTTAATCAGAAGAGTCAGAATTTAAACCTAAACAATTTAGGCTTCATAGCCAAAATCCATTGTTAACAATGATGTCTTTCGTTTAATATAATTGGGGATTGGGGACTGTGGCAAGTATGCTTGGCCAAAGAGGAAAGTTACTGTTCAGCTCCAGATAATTGTTGGCATGTAAGAATGTGGGCCCAATGCTGTCAGATCTTCCTATTTTTCAAGAGTAAGTGGAAATCTGGACTTTTACAAGAAGTGTCCAATTTTTAAATGTCAGTAACTAAAACCAAAGCAGGATAAAGGCAAACCAAATATCTCTGCAGGTTGCATTCAGACAGGTAGCCTTCAGTTTACAACCTTTGGTCTTCAGCATACAGGTTACATTTCTAGCTTCATCTCTCATGGATCACTACTTTTAATCTAGTTACACTGGACAGTTTACAGTTCTTTTCCTGTTTTTCACATCACACACTGAACATACATATAGCCGTCTGTCTGTCTCACTATCCAGACCCTAAGTCCTTATTGTCTGTAACCTGGCATGTGTTAGGTACCTAGATATTGGGCTGTTTAGAAATCCATTTAGAGCTAGCTTATAAGCACAAAGAGAGCACGAATGGACTCGCCTAACCATACTGTAGGAATTGGAGTCCTAAGGATGATCAGAATCAGGGCTTCTGATGCTGGCAGAGTTCTTGCCATCTTGGATCTATCCTTCTAACTCTGTGACTTTGCTTCATTCACTTTGGCCTTAGACAGTCTCTGCCATAGACTAGGAACATGATGCCTAATATTTCCAGACTCACATCTTTATACCTTCCCTTTACTTCCAGTTAAAAAATCCCAAATAGGTACTCTGGTTCAGCTTACATCAAGTTCCCACCCCAACCCATCAATACTGGTAAGAGACAGCATGTGTGTGTATGTATGCATATGTGTGCAGGCGCACTGCACACATACACAGAAACACACACAAATTTAAAATCAGGCAAGATTCTTCCTTAGGGCATGAATTTAAGGTGTCATCTGACTAACTGAAGAGTTAGCTGGGCTCCAAAGAGGGAATGTTTTCATTTGTACAGAGACCCAGTGGAAGGATGCTGAATACTTCTTTTTAAAAGATCTGTCTTGCTGTAATAAACAAAAAAGGTTGCAGGGGGCAAGTCATGCAGATAAACTACTGTGCAGAAGAGTTCATAAAGAAGGCCTGACTGCTATCCTTTGAAAGACCTGCTCCCAAAGTCAGCCCTTGACTGGTATCTGGGATCTTTGATTTCAGGAGGGTTTCCATCATCCCACTGATAAAACTGGCTCTCTATGCCCAAAGTGTACAGACAGTGTAGTTTATGATGATCGTACTTGTTTTCTTCCTGGGAGGTATGTGCCAGGCTGTAGGTACCTCTGTGTGATCTGCTCCCAATAAAAATCTTAATGAATTCACTGGTTTATATTTCAGACATACTGTCACAACACATTGATGGACACATCCTGTGTGTCTCTGCAGGGAGAGGACTCTTGAAAGTTTCCTCTGAACTTCACTCAATATGCCTTTTTTCTTTTCCTTTGAATTTTTTGCTGTAATAAATCATAAGACTATCTGCTGCATCTTGTGAGCCTTCCTAGTGAATCATCAAGTCTGGAAGTGGTCTTAGGAACCCCTGACACAACTGTTCAGGCTGAAATTAATAGGTTTGGGCAAGAAATGATGGAAGCATGGTCCACGGTGTTGGAACTCATTTGAAAGATATTTTTTAAAAATTCATGGGATTTGGTGATTGTTTTACTGTGGGGAGAAAGACATAGGAAAGTATCAAGGATGTCTACAAGTTTCTTAATTTAACAACTGATTAAGTGGTAGTAGCCGTTTACTAGGGAGTAGCATAATATAATAGAAGGAAAAACTGAAGGATCTGTATGGATTCAAGTTCAGATGTAAGTGATTATTAGTTTTGTTATCACAAGCACATCTTTTGAAGCTCAGTTGTCCAGCTGAGACTGTTACGAAGATTGAAAGGAGACATTTGAAGAAATTTTGTAGGTTATTTGGTGTATATAAATGTTAATTATGATGGTTAAGCTACCATTTTTTTAAGTACCTAATGTGTGCCAGGCATTTTACATATTGTTATTACTATTTTTACATTAATAACAGTTTTCATTGTTTTAAAATTCAGAGTACTTAAAATATTGGGATTTTTTTCTTTTCTTTTTTACTTTAGAAGTTCTGTATTTTACTATTCTTCATAAGATATTGGAAGCAGGTAAATTGTTGGTTTTAGACACTCAGACTCCCAGACCTGGTTATTAAGCACACGGTGTGCAGTGAGGAGATTTGCCAAGATTACAGCATTATTCTGAGGTTGAAACAGAGCATACTTCCCACTGTGCTAAAAGCCTCTTATTTGTGTATTATGTAGATGAATGAAGGAAATTCGATTCCATAATTTCAGGTCTATTGGGTCACAAATTTAATACCACATTTTATTGTTGAACAACAGCCAGTTACACATGCAAGGAAAGGCATTTATTTGTGAGGTTATCTTGAGTATAAGATGTCTAGATTTCAAAGAAATAATGATCTTCTCTTTCTCTCATAGACCACTTCACCTGCATTGTGAAGGTGCTTTTTACCCTACTGTATACACAAGGTCTTGTGGCACTTTCAGTTAAATGCAATGAGGAAGATAGGTCAGCCTGGAAACACACAGGAGCCCTCAAAAAGGTTAGTGTCTTGTCTGAATTTATTACTTAGTAGTTTGGTGAACTCATTTAAATTGGTGCTATGAGTGAATGAGATTAGGTATTTGAAAGGCAAAGTGAGTTATTAACAGTATTTTAATTGGAAATGGAGCACCATCAGGCTAAAAATGTTAAAAATGTTTTCCTTGCACAGTGAGGTCTTTTTTATCTGTAAACCTTGGCCTTTCCCTTTTTGTATCTGGACAGTTTTGTTTTGCTTTTGCTGCCAGTGTTAAACTTACAGAAGTTTTAAAACTTACATCATCACAGTTGGCAAGTAATAAAATGTATGTAGGCTTACTTGTTTTACTTATCTGTCATCTTTTCTTCTCCTTGCCTCATCCCCAGTCACAATCCAAAGATCACTTTTGACTCACTACTTCTAGATTTAAAAATCCTTCCCTTTTTTGGGGGCTTCCCCTCTGGCTCAGAGGGTAAAGAATCCACCTGCACTGCAGGAGACACAGGAGATGCAAGTTCTATTCTTGGGTCAGGAAGATCTCCTGGAGTTCAGTTATAAGTTCAGTCGCTCAGTCGTGTCCCACTCTTTGCAACCCCATGGATTGCAGCACGCCAAGCCTCCCTGTCCATCTCCAACTCCCAGAGTTTACTCAAACTCATGTCCATTAAGTCGGTGATGCCATCCAACCATCTCATACTCTGTCATCCCCTTCTCCTCCTGCCCTCAACCTTTCCCAGCATCAGGGTCTTTTCAAATGAGTCANTGAATCAATCCCTTTTTTAATGTTTAACTGTTGCTTCTTGTTTTGCAAACATGTTTCTCAGGAGACAGCTAAAGGGGTGTGATATCCCCAATTCTTTAAGAATTTGTCACAGTTTGCTGTGATCCACACAGTCAGAGGCTTTGGCATAGTCAATAAAACAGAAGTAGATGTTTTTCTGGAACTCTCGCTTTTTCGATGATCCAACAGATGTTGGCAATTTGATCTCTGGCTCCTTTGCCTCTTCTAAATCCAGCTTGAATATCTGGAAGTTCATGGTTCACGTACTGTTGAAGCCTGGCTTGAGGAATTTTGAGCATTAGTTTACTAGTGTGTGAGATGAATACAGTTGTGCAGTAGTTTGAGCATTCTTTGGCATTGCCTTTCTTTGGGATCCCTCCCCTGGAGTTACATCTTTTTAAAAACTACTTTTTCCCCATGTTTAAGAATTATGTGAACAATTTAGAAAAATTGTGCAAGTTTAGTTAAATGTAAGTATTTTCAATGGCTTGAAGACAAATGAGATGTGTCCTGTTGAACCAAAAAACTGAGTGAGTAGTTTGACTTAAACACAGGTGAAATAAGAAGAATGCATGCTCAGTTGCTAAGTTGTGTCTCACTCTTGTGACCTACTTCCTTGTTTATTTGGGAAAGTTGGCAGGAAAAAATAATAAGTGTAGTGAAAATTGAAACTTTTCTTTGGTTTGTAGACTTTTTTTTTAAAGTATTTTTAATTGGTTTATATACTCTTAGAGAAGTTTTAAATCTCATTGAAAAGTTTCTGTTAAAATCATATCTACTTGTATTAAAGAAGAGAAAACCAGTTATAGATACATGAAATGTATTCAGTATAACCTTCGCTTTTATCACTAGTCTTCCCAAATCATGATGATGTGTCCAGAAATTTACTGTAGTATCATCACGAAGTTTGTTATATCTTAATTTAGAAATAGTTTGTTGGACATTGAACCGGAGTACTAGGCTAAGCTTCTGCCACTGAATAGAGATACTACTTTTTCGTTCAAGACATAAAAACTCTCAGAACCTCAACTTTCTCATAGGTAAAGACGTTTATACTATATGATATATAAGGGCCCCTCTATTTCTAAAATTCTTTTTAAAATTCCTTAATAACAAAATGAGTTTTTGTCTTGTCCTTCAGTGGTTTTTCCTTCTTGCTTCTAGTTGATTCTTGGTTAATTTTGCCTCCTGCAATTCTTTCTTTCTTCTGAATATTTTTGTTTCCCTAAATGTACTTTAATCTGATATTTTGGATTATTTATATTCAAATCAGATATAACAGGTTTCTATGCTGTGCCATTGTTTAAATTTTTTTCAGTAAGTTTTCTAATAATGAAAAAGTATAAATTTAAACATTTTCTGATATAATTTGCTTCTAAATCTGTTCATCTGACTTTTCTCTAAAATGAGACCTGATGCTGTTGCTAAGTCTCTTCAGTTGTATCCGACTCTGTACGACCCCATAGACGACAGCCCACCAGGCTCCCCCGTCCCTGGGATTCTCCAGGCAAGAATGCTGGAGTGGGTCGCCATTTCCTTCTCCAGTGAATGAAAGTGAAAAGTGAGTGAAGTCGCTCAGTCGTGTCTGACTCTTAGCGACCCTGTGGACTGCAGCCTACCAGGCTCCTCTGTCCATGCGATTTTCCAGGCAAGAGTACTGGAGTGGGGTGCCATTGCCTTCTCCGAAAATGAGACCTACTTACAGAAAATTAGACAATTGTAAATCTATGATGGAAGGAACATGAAGTAATTTAGGTAACTGTTCTGTCCGTTCTCTTTCTCAATTTGATCATTATTAGCTGTTTTTAAAAATGCTTAATAAAACATTTAATATGGAGCAGATTCTTATCAGAACATATATTAGAAATTTATAGCCATATAAATTTCTTTAGTGAATGAAAACAAAAAATTGCAATATTCCGTAGGTGGTTTGCCACATTATTGGCTTTTTCTATCATAGATCTAAGCATTTAAATATACAGGATTGTAAATTGTAGCAGCAATAATATTTATGAATAATGAGATATCACTGTGATTTCTGTAATTATTTTGTATTGTTCATTCCTCCTTTAAAAAATTTCCTTTTTTCTTTAGCTCTTCTTTCCTCTTTTAGTTTCTTCCTTCTTTTCTTTCTTCATTGAATCTCATTTATTCATTTCATCCTTGTAATTTCTTATCCTCAGGTTTGATAATTCCAATGAAAAACAGACCTAATATGGTAAATAAAATACATAGCTGCTGTGTGTTTTTCAAAGAGATTTTAGAGTTAATTTGATAATGAGGTTTAGTTGGGGAAAAAATCATTATTACAATCAGTATAAATTGTGTTGTTTTGGTTAGTGGAATATCTGTTAAGAGTATTTATACCAGAATTTCTTAGTCTGGGCTTCTTTCCCTTTGATTTGCTTTTAGGTTTAGGACCATAGCATCTAGCATATATTCAAAGGGCCTGTCACCCCCAAAAGTTAAGAAGCACTATAATTTAGACAAAGCATCTACCCAGCAAAGCATCTGTTGCATCTCTCAACCCTTAAATTCTTTTCTTTATTTAATTTACTTATATTTGCTACTTCTCCCACAGGATTCTTCTGATTGGGATTCTTCTGATCATGATCCTAGGTCTTTCATCCATGGTCTCAGAAATCCTCTTCTTAAGCTTTACTTCTTAAAAAATTAAAGCTTTACTTCTTAAAGCTTATCTTCTTAGCTTTACCAAAGAACCTACTCTTTGCTTTATTCAGATATTGCTGATGTAAAATATGATTTCTTAAGACTTCTTATGCATGAAATAAAGTTATTTTCTTACCTAATACTCTTCTGGTGAGAGAGTTCTCAAAACAAAACCGTGACTACTATGTTATATTTGACTTTCTGATCTGATATAGTATTTCTTATTTGTAAAAGAAAAAATACTTAAAATGATTTTGATAATAATTTAAAAGCTAGTTATTGCTCAATAACTTGCATGGGTGATATGAGTATCATTAGGGGGAATATTTTCCCCCTAAGTAGCAAAGTGTTTTACTTGAAATACGTTTCTGTTGTTAGGCTCTATAAATCTTTTACTCAAAGGAGTGTGTTTTGAATTAGGCTTTTAGACTTTTAGGCTGTCTTATATATATTTACAACTTTAAATATGTCACATTGATTAACAAAATGCAAAATTGTGGTAATATTTTCTTTTGAGTTGCTTATTCAAGAGCTACTCTTATTAAATTAATTCTGAAAACATAATATAATATGTTGCTGTTTTGATATCCAGTGGGATATGGATTCTTGCAAATTATATGTAAACTACAAATCACATATTTGGCAAGTGATCAATAATCCTGTTGATTAATTAGGTAAGGGTGAAGTGGGTCACATGATATCAGGATAGCAGTTGCTGTGTCAGAGACTTTTATAGTTTATCAAAACATGATAATACTACGTGGCTGCAATATGGCAGAAAGCAGAGGGGTAATTAAAGATAACGCAAATAACTGATTATAAAAAGAGAGACATCCAGTCAAGTTGCAAGGTAAAAACCTCCACTGCCAAAATAAATCCTATCACTTAGCCAGCAAGTGTTTATTACTCAGATTTTTGTTATGTAAAAGGAGACATAGAAGATATAAAGCATAGTTTCTGACATTTTGGAATTTACAGTCTAGTTGAAGAGAGCACAGTAACATGTAAGAAAGGATGTATCGTCAAATGATAAATTCTGTGGTCCTATCAGTGCCTTAAAAATCCAGGATAAACTTATATCCCACAGTGCTTGCTCAGTTCTTGTATTTTACTATCTTAAAAGTGTAGTTAATGAACAGAGTAAACAACATCACAACCAAGTTATTACTTTTATTGTAATTTATACTTTACAGTAATTTGCAACACCTTTTAGTACTTCAGTAAATGTAAAAAGTACATTTCTTTTTGTGAAAAGCTTTATTGAAATAAATTTAAATTTATTAATAGCCATTATTTTTCCTTTCTTATAAAAAGTATAGTTGTTAAGTCTATTGAATTTGTAGACTGTTATTTAATGTTATCTGTAATTTTGTAATAAGCATATGGTCCTGTTTATTTTTATATTAAATTGTTTTAACAAGTTCTCTTCGAGGAATTTGAGAGAACTTGTAAAAGAAAAATATTTGCGGTCCATATTATATTTCGTGCATATATGATTTGTATCATTATAATGATTGTGTATATATTTTTGTTAGCTTTTTTTCATATCACACCATAAACACTTTTTTATGTAGCTCAAATTTGTTATATTTGCTGCCTATAAAATAGTCTGATATGTCATCATTTAGGTAACTGCTTCCTTTTGTTGGTCATTTCTAATTTTCCACTGTTACAATGCTTTGGTGATTGTCATGGGCATAAAGTTATTGTTTTCTTTTGAGATTATTTCCTTAGGAAAGAATTTCCAGGAGTGAGAATTACTGGAACAAAAGATAGGACTTAGATATGTTCATTTACACATATATTATGTAACTTGTATTCCAAGGAAGTATTGGAATAGCTTTAATCCCCTACCTGATTTCATTGGGAGTCCAGAGGTGTGCAGTTGTACACAGATTTTGAGAAAGTGAACTTTACATGCTTGAAAAGTAATATAGTCATGATTACAGTCATTAAAAAGTATTCTTTCCAGTGTAAATGTTTTTGTAATTTTCAGCAACTAATGAAATTACTTTTTAATTTTTCCAGAATACTTGTGATGCAGAAAAGTCTTATGAAGTGTTATTGAGCTTTGTGATAAGTGAACTGTCTAAAGGAAAGTTATACCATGAAGAAGGAACTCAGGAGTGTGCAACGGTACGCTCTCTCTAAGACCAGATGTAGTGGTTATTTAAAAATTTAGATTTTCTTGACATTATGAATATGACTTTTTAAGCTCTGTCTATTACATTAATAGAATGAATTTATCTGATTTTCTTTTTTAACTTTAGATTATCCCTGTTGCTTGGTCTCCTGAATCCATGGAAAAATACTTACAGGACTTCTGCTTACCTTTTCTCAGAATCACCAGCCTTCTTCAGCACCACCTTTTTGGGGAAGATTTACCTAGCTGCCAGGTATAAGTTTGGGTAGAGAGTAGGGAACCTTTTTTATAAACAAATAATTAATTTTTAAAAATATACTGATACAGTATTATGCTTATATCAATATCCAGAACTGCCATACAAAGATGAAGGTGAAAGCATTAGGTTGTTCAGTCGTGTCTGACTCTTTGTGACCTCGTGAACTGTAGTCTGCCAGGCTCCTCTGTCCATGGAATTCTCCAGTCAAGAATACTATAGTGGGTAACCATTCCCTTTTCCAGGGGACCTTCCCCACTCAGGGATCAAACCTGGGTCTCTTGCATTGCAGGCAGATTCTGTACTATCTAAGCCACCAGGGAAATCCCCCATACAAGAATATGTTACTCCAACGCAAAGAAGTAAATATTTAGAATATTTACTATTATCGTTACTTGTTTATTTGTTAATATCCACCCATTTTTATGGTAATATTACTAAGATTTTATGTTAGAGGAGTTTATTATTAGATCTGTGATAATAAATCCCTAGTACATGAACAAAAGATAGTATTCATATTGATATATTTTTCATATTGATATATTTATCACTAATCATCACTGGCTTTTAGTATCCTTTTTAAAGGGTATTATGTTGACCAACAAGCTGGTTGTTTTAAGATCTGATGGCATTTATATAATTTTAGAATTTAAAAATACTCAGTTTGTAGCCAGTTAAAACTTGAATGAATGATCACTGATTTAATTTATTTTATAAAACTGTGGGTCAGTGTGAGCAGGCAAGAAAGTGCAAAAGAAAGTAGGAAACCAGAAGGTAAGTAAATCAAGCTTTGTTTATAGGATTATGACCCTGTCATTATTTGTCATTCATTTTTAGGGAATTTTCTGTGAGAGTTAAGTCACTTACCATATTTATGGTCTTTGAAGCCTGCATGCAGTATATCAGAATTAAGCTGTTGATTATTCCTTCTCTCTTAAATAATTGACCATTCCATTAAATAGTTTGAATTCATTGTTTTTTTTTAATCAATAGGGCAGGAAGATATAACAGTTATAAATATATATGCATGAAACAACAGAACCCCAAATTACATAAAAATTGACAGAATTTAAAGAAGAAATAGACAATTCACAATTATAGTTGCAAACTTCAGTGTTCTTTCTTAGTAATCAGTAACAAATAGACAGAAAATCAACTGGGATAAATGAGACTTGAACCATACTATTATTCAACTTGATATAACTGACATCTATAGGATACTTCACCAGACAGTAATAACAAAATGCATATTGTTAAAAATGCACGTTGCCCATTCAGTAGAATATACCATATGCCAAGCCATGAAGCAAGTAACAATAAATTTAAAAGAATTGAAATCACAAAACAATTTTCTTACTACACAGAATTAAATTAGAAAATCAATAACAGAAAGAAATACACAAATCTCCAAGTATGTGAAAATTAAGTAGTATACTTCTAAATAACTTAAGTATCAAAGTAGAAATCACATGGAAACCAGAGAACATTTTTTTTTTCCATTTATTTTTATTAGTTGGAGGCTAATTACTTTACAACATTGCAGTGGTTTTTGTCATACATTGAAATGAATTAGCCATGGATTTACATGTATTCCCCATCCTGGTCCCCCCTCCCACCTCCCTCTCCACCCGATCCCTCTGGGTCTTCCCAGTGCACCAGGCCCGAGCACTTGTCTCATGCATCCAACCTGGGCTGGTGATCTGTTTCACCCTAGATAATATACATGTTTCGATGCTGTTCTCTTGAAACATCCCACCCTCGCCTTCTCCCACAGAGTCCACAAGTCTGTTCTATACATCTGGGTCTCTTTTTCTGTTTTGCATATAGGGTTATTGTTACCATCTTTCTAAATTCCATATATATAGTTTGCAGTGTACAAATCTTTTATTGTATATTTTATATTTCCTATTTTTCATATTACTGTAAATAGCATTGATTTTAAATTTCATGTTCCAATTTTTCTGCTGCTAGTATGTAGAAATACAATTGGTTTTTTTTTTTTATTTTTAATTGGAGGATAATTACTTTACAGTGTTGTGTTTTATTTTGATCTTGTATACTACAACTTTGATAAAATCAGTTGTTCTACTAGGTTGTTTATAGATTTCAACGTTTTTTCAACATAAACAGTCATGTCATTCGTGAATAGTTTTACTGCTTTCTTTTTCATTTGGATGTGTTTTATTTTCAATGGCTAAAACTTACAGTGTAGTGTTATAGAAGTGAAGAAGATGGGCTGTCTTATTTATTCCTGATCTTGATGGAAATCATTCACTTTTTTACGTTTTAAGTATGACGTTAGCTGTTGTTTTACATAGATGCTTTCAATTAGGTTGAGGAAGTTCCATTCTCTCCTCAGTTTGATGAACATTTTTGTTAGAGATATTTGGTGGATTCTGTCAAATATTTTTCTTTATCTATTGAGAGAGATTGAATTCTGTTTTGATTTTTATTACTACATTTATAATTACATTGATTCTCAATTGTTAAACTAACCTTGTATTCCCAAGGTTAACAAGGCTTGGTTATGACATGTTATTCTTTTTATATATAACATGACTTTACACACATAGCTGAATTTGATTTGCTAATTTTTTGTTTATAATTTTTATATTTACATTCATGAGGGATTTGGTTTGTAGTTTTCTTGTAATAGTTTTCAGAGTGTGTGTGTATGTGTGTGTGTTCAGTCATGTCCAACTCTTTGCAACCCCATGGACTATAGCCTGCCAGGCTCCTCTGTTCATGAAGATTTCCAGGCAATAATACTGGAGTGGGTTGCCATTTCCTACTCCAGGGGATCTTCCTGACCCAAGTATCAAACTCACATATCTTGCATCTCTTGTATTGGCAGGCAGATTCTTTACCACTGTGCCACATGGGAATCCATGTAATATCTTTCTGGCCTCATTATGTGAGTGAGAAAACATTATCTCATCTTCAGTTTTCTGGAAGAATTATTTAGAATTGCAATTGATTTCATGTCTGGCTCTTTGCGACCCCATGGACTACAGAATCCATTGAATTCTCCAGGCCAGAATACTGGAGTGGGTAGTTTTTCCCTTCTCCAGGGGATCTTCCCAACCCAGGGATCGAATCCAGGTCTTCCGCATTGCCAGCAGATTCTTCACCAGCTGAGCCACAAGGGAAGCCCCCATAAAGAAAAGCCAGTAATTTTGCCAGTGAAATGAGTTTATTTTGGGAATGGCAGAAAATTGCAATTCGGGACAAGCCAACTAGCATGACCTATAGTCAAGACTCCATTTTAAATGAAATTTTCTTTGTACATTTTACAGTTATACTTCACTAATGAATTCAGCTTGGCTTAGAGGTTTTTTTAGTGGAGATTTTTAACTGTAAAAACAATTTCTTTAATACCTTTGCAATATTTTTTCCTCCTTGATTGAGCATTGTTATACTTTTTCTTTCAAGGAAATTGTTCATTATTGAGTTCAGTTCAGTTCTGCTGCTCAGTCATGTCGGACTCTTTGCCAACCCATGGACTGCAGCACACCAGGCTTCCCTATCCATCACCAACTCCCAGAGTCTACTCAGACTCATGTCCATTGAGTCAGTGATGCCATTCAACCATCTCATCCTGTCGTCCCCTTTTCCTCCTGCCTTCAATCTTTCCCAGAATCAGGGTCTTTTCCAATGAGTCAGTTCTTCATATCAGATGGCCAAAGTATTGGGGTTTCAGCTTCAGCGTCAGTCCTTCTAATGTATATTCAGGACTGATTTCCTTTAGGATGGACTGATTGGATCTCCTTGCTTTCCAAGGGACTCTGAAGAATCTTCTCCAACACCACAGTTCAAGAGCATCAGCTCTTTGATGCTCAGCTTTATTTATAGTCTAACTCTCATATCCATACATGACTACTGAAAAAACCATGACTTTGACTGGGTGAACTTTGTTGGCAAAGTAATGTCTCTGCTTTTTAATATGTTGTCTAGGTTGGTCATAACTTTTCTTCCAAGGAGCAAGTGTCTTTTAATTTCATGGCTGCATTCACCATCTGCAGTAATTTTGGAGCCCAAGGAAATAAAGTTTGCTACTTTTTCCACTGTTTTCCCATCTGTTGGCCATGAAATGATGGGACCAGATGCCATGATCTCAGTTTTCTGAATGTTGAGTTTGAAGCCACCATTTTCACTCTCCTCTTGACTTTCATCAAGAGGCTCTTTAGTTCTTCTTCACTTTCTTCCATAAGGGTGGTGTCCTCTGCATATCTGAGGTTATAGATATTTCTCCCAGAAATCTTGATTCCAGCTTGTGCTTCATACAATCCAGCATTTCTCATGATGTACACTGCATGTAAGTTAAATAAACAGGGTGACAACATACAGCCTTGACATACTCCTTTCCCAATTTGGAACCAGTCTGTTCTTTCATGTCTGGTTCTAACTGTTGCTTCTTGACCTGTATACAGAGTTCTCAGGAGGCAGGTCAGGTGGTCTGGTATTCCCTTCTCTTGAAGAATTTTCCACAGTTTGTTGTGATCCACACAGTCAAAGGCTTTGGCATAGTCAATAAAGCAGAAGTAGATGTTTTTTTTTTTCCTGGAATTCCCTTGCTTTTTCTATATCCAATGGATGTTTTCTATATGATTTCTGGTTCCTCTGCCTTTTCTAAATCCATCTTGAGCATCTGGTAGTTCTCAGTTTTCATACTGTTGAAGCATAGCCTGGAGAATTTTGAGTATTACTTTGCTAGTGTGTGAGATGAGTGCAGTTGTGTTGTAGTTTGAGCATTCTTTGGCATTGCCTTTCTTTGGGATTGGAACAAAAACTGACCTTTTCCAGTCCTGTGGCCACTGCTGAGTAATATTCCATTATTGAGTAGAATGTCATAAAGTGTTTCATAAAATCTCCTTACTAATCTGTTAATGTCGATAGATGCTGTTGTGATGTCTACTTCCATATTTCAATCATATTTATGGACTGATCTGTTTCTCTTTGCAGATTTATCAGTTTTTGCTTCATATATTTTGAAGCTCTATTTTTAGGTATGTAAATTGTTTATAAATTTGACCTCTAGATTAGGTGTCTATTCCTCTTTATCATTATGAAATGACCTTCTTATTTTTTTTTAATTGATGGATAATTGCTTTACAGAATTTTGTTGTTTTCTGTCATACCTCAACATGAATCAGCCATAAGTATACATATATTTCCTCCCTTTTGAAACTCCCTCC